AATAACATCCTCAGCATCTGGATGATCCCTCAAGGACACAGAGCTGCCAGGCTGTCACCAGGAAGCCAATTCCAGGGCCCAGCAGTGGAGAGCAGAGATGCTGCAGGACATGGTGGGACCATGGGGAAAACTGTGGGAATTCCAGCAGCACCTGGAAGAGAGAAGAGCCAAGACATGCAGGTGATTGAACCAGGATTTTACAGGTTCCAGCACCCAACTGCCAGGGCAGGAAAGCTTCAGAAGCACCATTTGATCCCACACTGATGAAATCTCAGCACAAGCAGCTGTTTGGGATGATGTGTTTCAGGGGATTCCACCATGAATAAGCACCAAGAGCCAAAAAAACACCAGGAAAGTTCCTTTCAAGTCTTCACTCTCCTGTTTTATGGAGCCATCAGCTCCCAACCCAAACCAGAGACAACACTTCTGTCAGGGAGGCTGTTCTGGTGATAAATCTGACCCTGGATCTTCCAAAAAGAAAATCATCCAGGACTTTGATTCAATATGATTCAATATTCCACGTGTTCTGAGAGGGGCAAATAGTGTAAAAACTAGTTTTATTTGTTGAATAATAAATCCAGAAATCCTATTCCACACAATATTTTGCCATTATTTCTATGTAGCAACTAGTTAACTGTCAGCTGGGCTGGGATTTAATCTTTCTGCAGCTTTAATTTCTGTATGTATATAATTATTCCATAATTATACACACTAAAATATTGCCTAATTATAATCACAGGAAATAAGACTCCCCTACAAATAACCAAACTCTTCCCATTAAATATTTGTTACTACACGACCTTCACAGAGGATTTGGTGTTTGGTTTGTTCATGGGGAAAACTCACTTAATTTTATATATTACAGCAGAAATGACACCACACAACGAGAGATCCAGGTGGGAAATATCCCTAAACATCATTTGCCTCATAGAAATTTTGGACTGTGTGTAGATGGTCTTCATTTACCTCGGTCTTGGAGGGGAACACAAAGGCAAAAATGAGATTTGTATTTATTAGAGGGGAGAGGAGCCAAGCCAAGACTGAAACAAAGGGCCAGCCCCAATTTCCAGGAACCTCCCTGTTTTTTAGAAGAGTGTGGCTGGAGAAGATCCTATTTCTCAGCACTTGCCTGTACAGCCCTCAAAACCCAACTGAGCTCAGCCCCTGGAGTTTGGGGTTTTTTTGCTAAAGGGGTTTCTTTCTTATTTCTGTTTTCCCTTTCTTTTTCAAGCAGGATTTTGAAGTATTGATTTGCTCGAGGGCAGCCGAGCCAAGAGCAGGGTTTCCCCTAATTTTGATGACAACAGAGTTAAAATGCAGTTTAACAGCAAGACCAGATATGGTTCTTATTTTTCTCTGGGTGTGGTATCAGCAAAAAACGTTTTAAAATTGAAATTGTTCTTTAAAATTGAAATGAAGCCTGTGGAATTACATTTTCTCATGTGAAATAATACATCTTCTAACTGCTTTAATAGACCTTAGTATGCAATTACTGCACAGTATCTCTAAATAAGCAGATGATACAGCCCTGTCTTTCTTGTTTTAATAACAAATTCATCACTCCACCTTTATAATCCTTCATTTGCCTGATGAGATCAGGCACCTGAGATCAAGACACAATACCTTTATTACATCTAACTCCCCGAGATAATATTAATATTATGTGGCAATCTGTAAATATTATATTTATTTTTATTTATATTATATATATA